ATATGAAGGATTAGGCTTGTATTTATAGTGGAAGATGTTAATTAGCCGTTGGGAGGTGATTAGGGTTGATTTAATTCAAATTGGCAATTTTGCTACAGCGCTGTAACGGATCCGGTACCCTTCACGGTAGGGGGGTCCGTGTCATCCGGTACCTAGGTACCGTGACACGGTACGGCCTACCGTGTGGGAGTACCGTGTCTTCCAAAAGTTCAGTTCGCCTCTGGCGGTACCTGGTTAGGACGGGTTCGGCCAACCGTCTACACCTACCGTCGGTACCTAGGTACCGTTACACGGTATGGGGGTAACGTGTAGGCGGTATACCCTACCGTGTGGCGTACCGCTAGGGGTACCGTGACTCTGTTCGGATTTTTCCAAAATTCCCTTAATCCTTCGTGTTTGAGTTTAAAACCTTTTAGATATTTGAAAGTGTTTATGTGGTGGTTTTAAACATATTTTGTGAGTGCTTTTGAGCTTGTGAATATAGGTATATAAAGTCATATCCTTACATTGGTTTCTACCTATATTCTACGCTAGTTTTAGTGTTTCGACTTCATTCTTGAGTACCGAATCTTAATGGATTCTTGTTTTCCTGAAACACTTAAACAAACGTTAAGCTCTTATATTGTTTGTTAACATCAAAACATGAGACTTAGCAAACCAAGGCTAACACCTTCCTTTAGGTATAGTCAGGTATTTTTGTAATATTTGCAAACTTTATGTCCCTTAGTTACTCTGTTTCTTTCCTTTTCGGATCTCCTTTTTTCTCTCCCCTTTTTCTTCATCGTTTTTCTCTTCCCTTTTCTTCTCTTCCGCTTTCTGCTCTCTGCTTTCTGCGCTGCGGCTTTCTTCATTATTCTTCTCTTCCGCTTTTTTTTCTTTCGGTGTTCTCTCCCATGGAACCAGATATTGATCTTCCTGGTAATTCTGAGGTTCGGTCCCTTCAATCTAAATCTCCAGGTGATAATTTTTTGGGCATTAATTAACTAAATTTTGCAGTGTTCTTCGTACTCGAATTTAGCAATCTTAATCTCCAACAGAAACTTTTTCCCAATTCCAATTTTAATTCACGTCTTTCATTTTTCAGATTTTAGTTTATATGAAAGCCAATTAATAGAAGCAATTGAGAGTTGTGGAGAAATTGTAAACTTCCCAACCCCAACCCCTTCTGGTAAATTTCCTAAATTTTGTATATCATTTTCTACATTGTAAATGCATTCCCTCTTTTCATATGGATGAACTTTACTAAAAATGAGTACCAGTATACATGCCAATGTGTTATGACAAATACTACAATGGAAATAATTAAATCTGTCCATATTTCCTCTGTACATATTCCCTCTGTTCTTATTTGGTACTTTTTAATTTTATAGCTGGATGTAATGTACCTGATTTTCAACATACGTCTCTGGTGTTATCTAATGATGAGTTGATAGATTCTACCATTCTTGTTCAAGAGGTAGAAACATCAGAATTAATTGGCAAAAAAGTAAATTCAGAGAAAGAGGCATTTGATTTTATAATGAATATGCATTTAGGATTGGTTTTGGTATTCGTTATTCAACTTTAAGGAAAGGTCAGAATGGTTTGAGTATCAGGAGGAGAGAGTTTTGTTGTAATAAAGAAGGTAAAAAAAAGATCAAAGGGGCTGTTGGGAAAAAATTCACCAAAGTTGATCGACGCACTGGTTGTCAAGCTAAAGTTTACTTTGAATTGAAGGATAATGGTGATTGGGTTGTAGTTAGACATTTGATGGAACACAATCATTTGTTTTTCCCTTCTTCATTGGTTCACCATGTAAGATCACATAGAGATATTTTTCAAGAACAGCTGTCATATCTTAATCTTTTAAAACAACAAGGGGTTAAAGTTGCTGATGCATTTCGTTGTTTGAGGACAGAAGCTGGGGGGTCACCTGTGGTTGGTTTTCACCGAGAGATGTGTATAACAATTTGGCAAAAGATGCTAAAAGGTGCTTTGATGGTATAGATGCTAATACTTTAGTTAAGTATTTTAGGCAACGACAAAGAAACGAGGAAGATTTTTTCTTTGCCTTTGAGGTTGATTTTGAAGGTTCATTGGTCAGTTTTTTTGGAGGGACAAGGAGATGAAGGAAGATTATTGTTTATTTGGTGACTTGATTGTGCATGATACAACATATCGTATAAACAAATATGAAATGATTTGTGGGCCATTTGTTGGGGTTAACAACCACACTCATAACTGTATGTTTGGTTGTGGGTTTTTATTGAATGAAAGAATTGAATCTTTTGAATGGTTGTTTCACACTTTTCTAGAAGCAATGGGTGGGTTGCATCCTAAGACTATTATGACTGACCAGTCTTTTGCAATGTCTTTTGCAATTTCTTCAGTATTCCCTAATTCCAAACATCGTCTATGTGTATGGCACATTTCTGAAAATTCCAAGAAGCATATAAGGGATTTGAGGAACCAGGATGGTTTTTTGGATCTTTTCGATCATGTTCTGAAACTTTGTCATACCATTCCTAAGTTTGACTATTACTGGAATAGGTATGTTCATTTGGTATTGTCTTTTGTATCTTGAGTGACATTCTTTTATTATATATTATTGTTATTTTCATTATAAATTTTATTCTTTTTTCCAGGTTGGTTACAGAGTATTCGTGTATGAATAATGATTGGTTAAAGAAGCTTTATAACCTTCGAGAGAAGTGGTGCCCAGCATTTTTAAAGGATTTCTTCTCTGCTGGTATTTTGTCTTCCCAATGTAGTGAGTCAACCAATCATGCCTTGTCTAGGAAAGTAAGTGTAACTGCTACTCTATGTGATTTTTATCATTTCTTCTGTGAAACTGTGAGTGAATGGCGTAGTCATGAAAGGAGTGATAATGAACAATGTTGGGAGGGATTTCCAGAGATTGCTATCCCATATGTGAGTTTACTCTATCGAGCCTCAAGAGTCTACACCATTGATGCATACATGTTATTTGAGAAGGAATTTGTCAAAAGCTTGTCTCTTAAACATGAGATCAGACATTCAGATGGCAGTTCGCTTCGTTATTTGGTGTATGTGCCAACTGACAGTGTTTTTCCATACTTTGTTCTCTATGATACTTCCACTGACAGTGCTAGTTGTACGTGCAAGCACTTTGAAGAAGCTGGCATTCTTTGTTCTCATATTCTGTGAATTTATCACATTCATTGTGTTGAAAATATCCCAGGTTGTTATATTTTGAAACGTTGGTCACGTAATGCGAAGTCATTTGAAGAATCCCATATTGCTTCATGTTCTAGGTTTCCTATTTTACCTTCTGTTTGGCGCTTACAGATGCAAAGGAAAGTTCACAAAGTTTTGTCTTCGAGTGATTCTAATGAAGTAGCTAGGGCTTTGTGTGAGGAAGCATTTAACAAGTTGAAAGTCGATGTTGAAGCTCATGTTGGCAGCATTTATTTTTCTGATACTGATTCACCTCATAATGGAGAAGTTCAGATCAGTAATCCAAAAGGTTCGAGGAATAAGGGAGAAAGGATGGTTAGGCGGAAAAGTGTTAGAGAAAAGAAGACTAATCAAGCTAGAGGCCGAAAACAAGCTGTCCACCGGAGTGCTTCTACATATTCTGCAGAACTTCCAAGTTCAATGGCCTGTTCTTCATTGTTAGATACATGAATTATGATTTGTTCACTTTTTACCTTAAATGTTGAAATGTTTGAGTATACCAGGGTGGAAATATTTATCGGCAATGAATTGGAAATGTTCACTTTGGAGTTATTTTGAGTTCTGAAAAAGTTTATAGGCAATGAGTTGGCATTGGTTTTGTTTCTGGTGCTTTATTTTTTACTGGGCAGTATGTTAACCATTGGTTGTGTTTCAGTCTTTTAGCTCTCCTGCAATGTTTTATCATGGCCATGTATTCATTCCTTTGGATGTCACAAAATAAACCACTATCATCATAAAAGATGCTGACACTGAAGGGAATGTCTCCTAGACCTGGGGTACTTCTCTCATATGTTGCACTGAATTTTATGCCTTTTTAGATCTCTGTAAGTTTTGTGTAATGAATACCATGACATATCCGAATGAGTACCAACACATACAAGAATGAACAAACTTTATTGTGAGAAATTAGTATATCTTTCCTACTTTATCATGGCCATGGCACTAGAACTGAATAAAAGTTTATGTAAACCTCTCGTACACGAATACATATCTTTTCCTTCAGTGTGCCCCGCCTGGTGCACATGCCCGCTTGGCGGGCTCCGCGCTCGTTATCCTTTCCTCCCATTCATAAGCTATGGCAGCCGTTTGCAACCACAGGGGCCCGCCATGTGAGGCCAGAGTGGGCTCATCGGTCAGCCTCCATTCGAATTTTGTTTCGATCTAGAGAGATACTACAAGTCCTCCGTCCCAGATTCCATATGTCACGTTGTCTCGTCCCCACTGCATCGAAGAGTACCTATGAACTATGTTCCGGTTCATTGATAAGGAAGATAGAGTTGTGGTGGGGGTCTACGATGTGATTCTAAAGTATGAACATGCTAACTATGGGTAGGAAGAAGGAACATTTCGGGATCTCCATCGATCGACAGAGCGGAACGACTAGAAAAAGAAGTGTTAAGAGCTGGCTTAAACGACTTCCTTTAGTTGAATCTTAGCCAGTTCAATATGGAGCCGCGTCGTGTCATCGGCGTGTCCCAACGACAGGCTATAATATTGAGTATTGGAAACCAATCCACTTGCAGCTGCCAGTGTCCGCTGGCTATGGCACCGTGTGAGCTTGAGGAACCATCCATGAAGAAAGCCGTTTGTTACGCACAGGTTGCTCTTGGGTTGGGTAAGCACGTGGACTTCAGAGACGTACCTTGCCTAAATCGTCAGAAGTATGACTCACATCGTACCCGACTCAATTTCAAACAAAAAGAACCTCTGCTGAAAGTAATATACATTTCTCAAACCCAAAAGTACATAACATCTGGTAACCACATTAGTTTTTATAACAGCAATATTACCATTACACTAATATAACCACATAAGTTTTCATCAAAATTAAAATTCAGTTATCCATAGTACTAATATAACCACACACAAAAAAGTTGTCTTCATCGTATGCTTCAGCATCAGGTTTCAGCATTAGTCTTTTTCCTCCTATTTCCCCTTAGCTGCTTTCTTGATTTCCTTTTGAGCAATTAGTCCAGATTTGATTTTCTTCACCACTTCCTCCTTCATCTCATTCTTTTCAAATGTCAGCATCTCATTCAAGTATCTTGTCCTCAACTTTTGCATCAGCTTTTCCTACAATATTCCCAATTTTAAACCATTCATTTTTAAAATTTTCATGTATAGAGTAATATTTGTGTTACCAAGAAATCTACCAGTACTTACATTTATGTTTTCAAGCCCACAATCCCATTCTGCTTCCCCTTTATATGTCTCCATGAATCTCATAGTAAACACTCCTGAGTCTGTACGACTTTTCATTACATTCAGTCCCACATCTAAGCACTCTGGTTTCAGCTTCTATACTTCCGTTGCTCTTGGATCTTTTTTTTCCTTAAGCCACTTTACAAAGGCACTTCTCTACAATGGACATATAAAAAAAATAGGAAGTAATGTTATTTAAATAATGTTTAAAGAAAAGTCTTTAATGAGGCATTTCTTAAACAAATCTTACCAAGTGGTTTGGATGGAATATATATCTTACACATATTGCAACTGTAGTCTCTTTACTGTCAATTATGAGAAACTTCATATTTCTCAAGTCAAAACACATTAAGTAGACATGGTGTGTCAGCTTTGCTGGGAAGAAAAACATATCTGTACTCCTCACCATGTTTATTAACATTGGACACATTTTTTCCATACTCTCCACAAAGTTTTTGTTTCGTGTTGTTGCTGAACTTCCAACATTGTAATCCAACACATCCTGCAAATTTGAACTTAAAAAGTCATTATATTTATTTAGGAAAACTACTCTACTGCTTGTGATTTTATTTTAACATACACAAATTTTCGTTGGGAAGAACACTCTGGCTGATGAGTCATTGCTTTTGAACTTCTCTTTGTGGTTAAGAATATCAGTCCACAAATCTATGATTTCAAAAGAAACTGCTGAGTTCAGTTTCAAGCTTTGGAAGTGCCCTTTCTTGATTGATTTGTCACCTTCCTTGTATAGCACATTACTGATACAAATAAGAAATCATAAGTATTCCATGTCATCAAGAATGAGTTCAAATTCATCACCAAAAAATACCAGAATGAGTTTTGCTGTAAAGATTAATGAACATTAAGAGATACCAGAATGAGTGCTACACCAAAAAATAGTACTATGCACATAATTAATTGAAATAACTTACTCATCACTGTCTACTGAAAATGTGAACTCTTCCACCATTCTCTCTTCAATTGTCAAGGTAGACCTTATGTCTACAATTCTATTCATGAATGGCGACCTTAGTGCAGCTGAAAGTGGAACATCTCTCTTTCTACCCTTTTGTCGTTCTGCAATTCTTTCTGGACATTCGTCTTGATTGCCTTTTTTATTCTGCTCAACTTCTCTATTGTTTTTCTCCACTGCCATGTCAAGAATCCAGACTTCACTTAGAACTTTTTTTACATTTTCCACATCTGCCACATCTCCCCCGCCTCTGACATCTGCATGCAACTCTCCATTCTCTGTGTGTAGGTTCTGTTGCATGTTCTACATCTCCCACAACTTCCATAGCTTCTGTCACTTGTCCCCCATCTCCCATATTTTCTTCTATCACACCTCCCACATCTGCTGCCACCCAATCCCTCTCTTTTTCAGCATGTTCTGTCACACCTCCCACATCATCAGCTGCCACCCCCCCAATCATGAACCATCTCATTATCACGTCTCTCTTGGCTTTCTTGTGAAAGTAGCCTAAAGGTTGGCCCATCATACTGTGCTCTCTCTTGTCGCCTTTTTTGTGCTTTTTCTATAGCATCAATAGCCTTCATCACTTCTTCACTTTTCCAATATTCATCATCTTGACTAAAAGTCCATTCCTTTTCTCCTTCTTTCTCTTCTTCTTGCACATTCTCTTTTGAATAACCATCCAGCAGATTATAAACCCTCTTTACCAGCATTTTCATTGCTTCATCATCTGGCAACACTTGAACAGCTGCTCGAAGCTTCTCATCAAATAGAGATATTGCTTCTGCCAAATTCTTTGTGGCTGAAGCAAATGCTTTTATAACATCCTGCAATGAATTGCATTTTACAGCATTCTTACCATGGTCACATATTAATATTTTTGAGGAAATGAATAGTACTATAACCTTACCATTTTTTCTTTCTGAACATGTAATTCATCTTGATTTCCACCATCACTTTGGTTTGTCTGACTTTCTTTGTTGAGATTTGGACTTGTCAGTTCAATCTTTTCAACATTGGGCACATCGATGTACCCGTAACCAAATCCACCGCTCTTTTTTCCAGCCCTTTCTCGTTCCCACAGTAGTCTTGTGTTCCACCTAACGAAAGAGGGGAACTGCCTTTGAACTCTTCTGCTTTTGAAAATGACATTGTCAACATAGAAAACCTGATCATCATTTCATCAAATAAATGTGTTAATACAACACACAAAATATATAAACATTTTAGAAAACAAATATAAAATTTAGAACTTACAATTAAAAACAGCAATGGCCCTCCAAAGAATCTGCTTTTGTTGGATTTCCAATAATCTGTTGCCTCTATCAAACTCTCCAAGGTATATGAACACCAGTTAAGGTTTTTTTATTTCAGACACGTTTACCAAAGCATTCACAATTTTATGTGCTGCTGAACAATTCTGCTTCCCTTCAATTAGAAAACTGACCATCAATACCATTAAATTCCTTTTGAACATTTCTCCTCCTCCCTTATTCTCTTCAACACTTTTTCTCACATCTGCTATTCTAACCGTCCCTTTCTGAACTGGAAATTGTAACTTCCAAGCTCTCATCACTTCTCTTACTTCTTCCGATTTCTCTCCATTCTTTTTCATCACACTTTCTCCTCCCATTGGAAACCCGATGGTGCTATGAATGGAAGTCTCATTAATGTGAATCTCTTTTTTACTTGGCAACTTCAGCGAAACATTTCTGGTATCAAAATTTTCCACCAGCCAGTAACCTAACTGCAGAGGAAGATGCGAGATATCCAACTGTAACAACCTACCAAACCCCATTTCCCTAACATCCTCTTTTTGTTCTTCACTCAGATTTTTTAACAGTTCAATTATTGTTTTCGGTGACATCCTTGTCTTTATGGACTTCACACCAATCTTATTCAGTTCTTCTTCTTCTCCCAGGACCTTCTTCTTTCTCTTTCTTTGTTTATTTTTCTCTCTCTCTTTTCTTTCCACTGTTGCACTTTTCTTCTTCCTAGCACATTCTTCCTCTTCACTACACTCTTGTTCAGTGTTTACTTCATCTTCACCAATTTCTTGGTCAGTGTTTAGCTCATCTCTCGAAGTCCTTTGATCAGTGTTTTCTTCGAGCTCAACTTCTGCTACCAAAAACTTCTCACCGTTTAATTGGTCAATCTTTTCAATGCTCGGCATTTCATCTTCTTGTGAAATTGGATCTTCTTGAGCTTGATTCTTTTCCTGCTCAGCATTTTCTCCTGGTATCCCTTTCTTTCTCTTTCTCAGTTGCATTTTTCTCCCAAACATTGGTTCCTTCTCAGTCCCTTTCCTTTTCCTCAAATTTACTTTAGTAAAAACACTTCGTTCTTCACGTAGTACAGGGATTTCCGTGATGGCTTTTTTACTGCATAATTTTCAAGCACATTTCAATAAGATTTTTAGCTACATAATTCAATAACTGAGTACTATTCTGTAACAGAATGAATACCAGCAGTTATGAGAATGATCATATTCCTACCACACACAAAAATAATAACCTTGGGCTTTAAGTTGTCTATACAGAATGAGACTGATCATATTCAGTATTTAGAGTATAATTGAGTACCAGAATAAGTCATAATGTACACTGGAACACATTAGAATGATCATATTACAAATCCCAATATGAATGAGCTTTACTATAACAAACATAACATGCACCTACTGTGTGGACTACAAATGAGGACCATTATAGATTAGAATCATTGATAACACATACAAGAATGGACATAATTCAATCCATTACTTGAATCAAAAGCACACCAAATTACAGAGAGTATAAATGAGTATGATTATAAATCATAATGTGTTCTACCAAATAGGACAATGATTATATTACAACCCCTATATGGATGAACTTTACTATCTACCATAAGCAGACGTACTGGACCCATAAAAATGAGTACCAGTATACATGCCAATGTGTTATGACACATACTAGAATGGAAATAATTAAATGAGTTACTTCAATGGATATGTTATGTGACATTTTCTATGGCCCTTACGAGAATGAACTTAACAACTCTTCAGAATACAAACGAGTACCATTCTATATGAGAATGAGTATAAGTGCGTACGAGTTTGGTAGCTTACACTTCAATGCAAGAATTAGTATAATAGCAGATGAAATTGCTTTCGAGCTCAACACGATTTTGCTTTAAAAATGTTCCAATTAGGGTTTGACATCTTTCGGATTACGATTTGATAAATTCGGAATTTAGAGAGAATATTTAACACTAATAGAAGTAAAAATCTCATACCTCAACGAAGAAGAAGCTTCTGCAATTTTTTCCTTCTGCATGATCATCTTCTTCCGCAGTGATGTTGTGCCGCAGACAACTTCGAGCGCAGTGAGGAAACGCTTCGATTCTAGAAAATGAATTTGAATTTTGATTGTGGGGGATGAGGTGGAAATCGCGGGTATAGGCAAATGAAAATTTTGGGCCTGATCCGTAAATGGGCTTGCATTTTAATGGTTAAGTGGGCCGGCTGTACCTAATTTTAGGTACAGCCGGATGTACGGTATACGAACTCTAGAAGATGTGACAGGGTACCGTGACAGGTACCATGTCAACCCACAACCGCCCGCTTCTTTGTTTGTTTGATCTGATTTGAATCCTGTAATTATTCCATGATCATGTGTGCTGCATGATGGTAAGTGAAAGATGTTTACACCCGACACTAGGCCACCAATTGTTAAATATGTATGTTTATGAGCGCTACTATGACTTTGTATGAATTTGGAATTTGGTAAAGTATGAACCTGAATACGGATAGGCTACCTAGCTGAACTATAGGTGGACCAAGAAACAGAATAAGAATACAATTAGGAACTACAGGTCATGTGATGATGAGTCAGCGTACATGCATGATCAGTTGGGTAAAGCATGTGCACGGGGGTCATAGATCTACTCATGGATGTGAGTAGGTGGTCCCACCCAGCCGACGTTGGATGACGTCGTATTAAGTGGGTTCTTTCATGGATGTGGTTGAATCAGTACTCTATAATAAAAAAGTGGTCTTAGCCTAGGATATGTTATTAGCTTAGAAAGAAGGAAGTTTGATTAAGAGTTTTGCATGTGGATCCTGCGTCATAAATGCCTAAATTGAGAATGAGAAATTTGGTAATCTAAGTAAGTAGGATTGTTTTATGGGTTGTTTGATTTTATTGATATTATTCTCGTTGTACATGTATGCATGATATTGTATGAATATATGAGCTAGTGGGTTCATCTATATGCATAGTGGAAACGTTAGATATTTTTCACTTAGCTTCAATGCTCAACGTGTAGCTCGTTTTCCTCTTTGCTAAGCGTAGGTAACATGAATGACGAATAAGGAAACAATATGGGCGACAGTGAGGACGAGAAGATGGATGGATGCTGACTAAAGGAGTTATCTACTTTAATATTTAAAATATAAAAAAACTTTAGTTTCACAATCTATATAAAATGTTTATTTTGTCCAAAATAAATTAGTTGCCATTATAGGGTCAATAAAAAATATTAAATTGTAAATGAACTAATTTTGTAATTTTGTAATATTAATTGTAATTTTTGTATTATTTCATAATTATATCTCATTAAAACAACAATAACTTGTATTAGCTTTTAGTTTCATAATTACTTTTTTAAAAAATGTTTATAACTAAATTTATTTATTTTTGATAAAAAATCTGTTTACCATTACAGTATCAAAAAGTTAATAGTGTACAATATGTTTTCCTTAAGCAAGGTTGCCTTAAAGTAACAATGTGATGTGATTTACATTTTTTGTTCTTCCTTGCATCGGTCAATCTAGCACCAAGGTTTGTTAGGCTATGTGCGCACACCATTGAGGGAGGGTGGTGAGTAAGGCGTCGAAATAAGTTTTAAAAAAATTTCGATTTTGTCCCTTTCATTTGTGCCTAACGGTGCTTATGTAAAAACGGTTGCATTAAAATAAATTTGGAGTAATAAGCGCAATTAAGAAAAGCATAAAGTTAGTGTACCGTATTTTATACTGGTTTGGAAACTTCTTACTCCAGTAACTTAAGGCTTCTCTCTAAGGATATCCAATCCACTAGAACTCCTTGACTGTCTCATCACGATTGTCACAACGGAACAAGTTTTGGTGAACAAACATTTTCCAATTGGTTTACACTAAATCGACAATACTTCACACTTTGAAGTATCCAACTCGCTTAAAAAATTAAATACAAATGTTGGGTCGGTGTGATAATTTTTATACACTCAAGTAATTACAACTCTCTTGTGGATAGATGATATGAGTGTAAATCTTTTTCATCAAGTTCAATATCTGTTCAAAACTTTCTCTAAAAAATGGATCTAATTAGCCTAATATAAAAATTAGAAATTTAGAAACATAATATTAACTTTTCAAAAAACATAATATGAACACTAAATAAAAGAATGAAAAGATTTGAACAAAGTGTGACATTTTAAAACAATGAATCAGTTTGGGTATTTATAGAGATAGATAAGGAGTCTTTTCATTTAAAAATAGTTGTTAGAATCGATTAAATAGATCCTAATACCATATTTGATATTATCAAACTGTTGGAGGTGAATAAGACCATAAATAAAAAAAATATGTGCTACGGACAGTCTAGTACCTTGATCGTTTGGTCATCATGGTCAACTATCCTATGTATAACTGTCAGAATCTAGCCAACGATAATATGCACGGTCGACGTCCTATTGTAACGGTTCAAGACCTCGACCATCTAGAGTCTATAAGCGGATTCAAAAATATTTTTGGTAAAATTCTTATACCTTCTTCAATACTTATCATTTGATTCAAAAATCGTGATCCCGTATTGAAAGAGCTACAACTTTTGTGTTTAGATTTTTCAAAATAATGAAAATATAATTTTCAAAAATATTTATCAAATATTTTTATATTAAAAATAAATACCCAAAAAAGTATTTTTGTATGTGTGTGCAATATTGAACTTGAGCTTAATGATATATTTTCTAAATATCTTTAACATTGAATAACTAAGCTATCCTACACTAGTCTTGTGTGAGCGAATGCATTGATGCAATCAAGACATTTTAGCGGATTTTGGCGTTCATACACAATTGATCAAACATTAGCTCAATTAAATTATTTTTAAAATCAAAACATGATACTTAGCATACCATGACGAACATGGCTGGTAGCTAGGAGATGTGTGCGAGGCATTAGTTTAAAGGTTTCGTGAATGGCGTAACCAAATATGTTCTCTTGTTCCCCTACTCCAATCTCATTGGGTTTCTTGGTGAAATGACCATGAACAGCCTGGGTGAAATCTAGGCTCTATTGCTCGTTGTTTACACGACTTTACAGTTGTAGGCGTTGAGGCCAATTTTAAGAGAGGTGTACCCAATGTCTTTGCAAGAGTCGCGTACAATGTTCTCAATGTACAAAGGATCTTGGTCATGATCTCCCCAAAGACACTCACCATGTCTGTCTTTTAGCATGTTTCGCAGGCAACTTTGATTTTTGGGTCTTGTCCACGCATGCATTTAGAATGGCATCTAAGATTTGATCACACAGCTTGTCAGGGTGACTCTCATTGAGTCTCTGAGGTGAACAAGGTCTCAGTTTTTATTCTTTCTGCGGCTGAGTGGGGCTAAGGGAATGTGTGGTTCTTTGGGGTGGGCAAAAATCTTGATCCCATTGTCCTGACTTGAAATATCTCGATCATGTTCTTATATATTCAATTTTGGTTAGGATGATTTTCCCCCCAACCCGTTCAGAACCATTTTAAAATGAAACGAGAACGAGACACAAATATTTTCCTAATTTGTCCCATTGTCTCGTATGTTTGTAAATATCTATTTAATTGTTGTTATATAAATGTGATAACAAGAAAAATTTTCACAATTTCATTATTTCTCAAAATAGATCCAAATATTAATCCACATTGGTTTTTTATAATAAATCCTCTAGTCACCTAGAAGATCATTTTGGGAATGCACTCATATAATTATCAATGTTAAGTCCTCGAGTTTTAAAACTGTTATTGATTGGCCCAATTATAAAATTGTCCATTAATGTACTAATGAATGTCGAAGGCAAGGCAAATGCCGGGCACTCGAAGGGGGATCGAAAGAGAACAAAGGAAGGTCGAAAGCAAGTCAAAGGTTGTTCGTCTTTGCTTTTAAACAAATATTTGAAGATTAATCGTATGTAGTCGACGAGTAGTCAGTCGAACGGATCCAAATCAAGTACAAACAATTTTTAACGAATGTTGAATGGAACATTGTATTCAGGCTTGAACCTCATACATTGAGAGGCGTTGTTTCAATTTGAAAGAGAAAATAAAAGAAAATGAAAAACATTTTTTTATTTGGTTAGAGAGAAAAAGAAAAAAAGGAAGGAAAAAAAATGAAAAGGCAAAAATACTACTCCCTCCGTCCCCTTGTCCCCTTGTATTTGTCCACATTTGACTTTTGGAACTGTTCATCTAAACACTTTGACTCATCAAATTCTCTCAATGTGTAAGCCTAAATATAGTCATGTGTTATCTTATTTGATTTGTCTTAACATATAGATTATTAATATATAATTTTTACAATTTTTTAATATACAAATTACAAGATAAAATGGATTAAAGAAGTGTATTGGATAATGTGTAAAAATGAAAGTGGACAAATATAGGGGGGCGGAGGGAGTATTAAAAAGGAAAACAAAATTTCTCCCATTTTGGTTAGAAAAATGAATGAAAATCATTTTTTTCCATCCATATTCCTTGAATTAAATAGTCTTAATGATATTGCAGATCATTTTGGGTGATTTTTCTTAAAGAAATGATTAACTTTGCATTTTATATTTGGTTCAAGGAATTTGGAAGGATAAGAAATTAATTTTATCTCATTTTCCTTGCCACACGAGAAGAATTTGGTTTTCCCTCTTCTTAATATATTTTGCCTTTTTATACTCTCTTTCCACTTTTATTTTCCTTCTCTTACCAAACAAGAAAACTTGTTTTCTTTCTCATTTTCTTTTCTTTTCCCTCTCAAATTGGTTTCTACATTGTCACAGGGGTGGCATACCTATGTAGTTAGCACTATGATCGTTTACTCATCATCTAAGAAGAAGGCCTAAAATGCCTGTCACCACAAATCATATATAAAGCTAACATTCAACTGTCATTGATTTATGATCTCTCTGTTAAGCCAATACTTACATATACACCAACTGGCCAAATGTAATTCAGAAACAGGTTCAATCCTTTTCTTTGTTGGAAGGAGACGATATTAAATGGCGCAATGTGGTCGCTTCGATCACAGTGGGGCTTGGATCTCTGGTGCGCATTGAGCTTGACTGCCTCAACCCCAAATTCCTCTCTGCTGCACCAGTTCGAACAACATTTCCCCAGGGTCGTGGCAGGCAACGTAATATGCGCTTTGAAGTGACCAGCAGCATCACACCAACAATAATAAAGAGCCTGTGCATGATGAAAATGGGTCTAAACCTCAATTTCGATTTTGTGACAGAATTGACATCAAATAATGATGACAGAGCTGTAGGCAATATACATGGATAATGGATAAAGGGCACAGCATTTATATGAAGGGAAAAGAAAATTTAGCCATTCTAGATTTCTAGAGTGTAGCTTCCTTCCTAATAAGCGACTGGGAGTTTGCTCTCTTCGTCTGATGTGATTGTAGTTATATTTAAGTTGAAAAGAACAAGCTCTAAGAAGCAAACTTCATGTGTGAATGCGTAAAAACCTAGGAATTTCATGTTCAAAATACTGCCTAAAGTTGTTATAAGACATAAACTTAAGTGTAAAAATACCATCCAAGGAGAAGAAGGAGACGTGCTTTCGGTGCTGAGGGTAATTGTTCACCCAATGCAAGCATACCGGCAACTACTCCACTAACTATTGATGCAACAGCAGCACATGTAGAAACTACAATTGCTCTCCCGTGCTTCAAGCCACGTGTCTGATTAGAAGAAGAAAGTGTAACAAAATGCAAATGGGTCTACTAAGGTATGGCATTAAAATAGAAGTGCATGAGAAATTGCCCATGAACTGCAAAACTGGCACGTAGAGGAATTCTATACAAGGAAAGGAGACAATGTCAGGTTTTATGGAGTAACAGCATTTATTAATTTTAAAAAATTGAATCTTCAAAGTACCTGATAAATGAATCCTGAAGCACTGCAGCAAGTGCTGACAGAGATGCAGATGGGCAGGAGCAGTTTTGAGAAGCCTTGATCCATGAATAAAAAGCCAAGCTTTGATATAACAGATGCCATCCTGCATTTGATAGGTACAAAGAAATCCACACATGTGCAAATAAATTTCCAACAACAATAGCAAAACCTGGTATAATCCAAATTCCATTGACGACTGGGGGTCAAGATGTACAGAGCCTTACCCCAGGAAAGAAATAGAACTAGACCCTTTTTACATTACTGTATTTACTACCCAAAACTTCATAGAAAGTAAGAAACAAATAGAGTTTAGCCCATTATTTACCCGAAGCTAAATCGTTTCATTAATAATACTAATAACTTCAATGGCAACGGCTATGGTACAACTAAGTATGAGAGAAGATAAAATTTTACTGATTCAAGAAAAACGATATTAAAGACTATGTAACTATGTTACATAGCCGGCCCCAAGCCCGGATGAAAGAAGAGGGTTGTGTTAGGTCTTGGCAACCAATGTAAAACTTTGTTGGATCTTCATGACATGGATTCATGACAAGAAAAACTACATGATGGTCATAGACTATATGCATAATGCGAGCTTTTCCTATGCCTATAAGTACTTAAAATAACACTATAGAGTAGCAACTAGCAAGTTTCATAAATGTACAACTTTATAATTTTTTTAGAATCTGTTCATACATACTTCCCCAACCCGTTGAAGCGCATAGAGTCAACAGTTCAACACTCCGGATGGGGTTTGAACCTGGGTGAGCTTCCCATCTAGAATCCTTGGAAGCGGTTCGCTGCTCAAGCCAAGGTGAAGCTCCAACTTTTAAATTTTAGTAAGGTAAAATTATTGGAAGTCATTAAATATAGCGATTTTTAAAACTTTATTTGGTGGTTTGATTAAATTTAACATACTCAACCTATCTGTGACATTTTTTTTATACAAATACATAAAATATGATGAAAATTCACTTTTTTTTGTTCAAGTAGGACTCTTTAGGCAAAAATAAGTTTACACAGGCAGCACAACATTTCAATGGATAGTAGTATAGTACCCCCTTCGTCCCTTTAAAGCTTAATCTACTCCTCAGTCTCAAATTATCAAAATAAACTGCAAACCTTTATTCCTTTGGGGTGAACATTTTAGTCTAAATATTGAATTTAACCATTTTTTATTCCATCACATGAGAACATTAACAGAAGAAATAAAAAGTACCAGAACCAAGGTAAAAATTTAACGGCCCCTTCTTTTGACAGCAAGTGTTGTCATATTATGACAACACATTTGGGGCACCTGCAGTGCTTCGTTTGTAAAATTGATGGTTCCTATCTTCCTAAACCTTGGGGTTTAGAAAGGAGGAATCGTCAATTTTACAAGCGGTGCTTGTTGTTATAATATGACAACAGAATCTGTTCTCAAAAGAACGAGAGAAAAATCTAAAATGTACATAAATTACCCAAACAGTATGCCAGATCCCAAACCATAAATTATTTCTTCAACTACTTCATATTGCATCTGCATAGTAGTAAAATGTCAATCAAGTACACCGCAGAAAATTCAAAGAGCTCATAGTATGGATGGAAAAGAAAAACATTACCAACTCTTGTTCTCTTCTCTGACGCTTATATATGCGAAGGCAGCCATTAAGGAGCACCTAAATTTCAAATAAGACATTATAGATCACAACTGCTCAATAGTCCATCACCAGACCCCACTGGTGGAATTACATTTGGTTTGTTGTTGTCTTGTTGATGATGTTGTTTTTCACAGAGGTTGGCCAATGGTTGAATGTGTGCGGTTATGACCTAGTAATTAATCAAGTACATTGACACAGCACTTAGTCCTATACTTTTACCTAATTTATTGAGGGTGGAGGTGGGGCCAGGGTGACTACAAAGAAATAATAGCACTTCAAAAGCCATGGATAAGCAGCATTTCTATTGAAATGAAAGTTTGTAGACATTGCAGAAAGAGTAAATTCAATTAAAAATCATACTTAGTAAATATAGAGTAGGATACCTACAAACAAGATTGCAACAAAAAATGCCAGCCATGGTAAATGAAAAACTGAAATTGATGAAGCCTTTTGATCCTCCCCTCCAGCACCAACACCTGTATGTATGTACACATACGATGTAAATTCTCAATGAGATATTATGTCGCATGCACCGACTACAAATTGATGCCTTTTTTTCTTTCTTTAGTGATCAATACATCCTGTTGCAGAATAGAATACAAAGAAGGGAAAAACGTACATTACCTATGGTGCCGATCCCAGCCAAGGCAATTCCCAACCAGTCAATAACATTCATAATCTCCATTAGATAAAAATGGGAGAAGATTGAGAGGATCGCAAGTCCACAGCCCGAAACAGGCTGAATGACAGAAACCTGAAATGAGAAAATGAGAACACCAGATATGGAAATATGAATCAATATCCTATCAGCATGTAGATAGTGTTGTGAACTGATATGTATCTCATAACTTATCAGTGAAGGAAACTCAAAAGGAATCCAGTGTCAACGTAGAAAGAGAGTTCGAGATGAAAGGTGATTACTTATTTGTGGAGATGTCGAATTTTTAAATAGTACTTTCTTCAGAATCCAATGCCAATGCATAAAGAGACTTCAAACTCCTATGCAATTCATTACTTATAGTTCCTGAAGGAATAATATAAGGCATTGTTGAATGAAAGACAATTTTGAACTTTGGTTCTAGCAGTAGGGAGTTCTCTCACAAAAGCTTCTTATTCATCTATTCTCTATTCTACTTTCTACTTCAATATAGTGGAGAAAAATAAATCCCCTGTGACAAATCCACATCAATCGGCCAATGCCACCCCCAATTTGTGAATCGGGAGATCACCACAACCTCTTACAAGTTAGTAGTTACAACAATCAAAGTATAGACAAGGAAAACTCTCCCTATCAAACGGCTAACTAAAGACGAGTTGGAAGATCACTGTGTGTAGCACCTATATTACAATTGTGAAGAGAAGTGGAAATGTGGATGCACGCAAGCGACTATTTTACATTGTGTGGATAGAGGACAAGATTGAGTTACTGCATGCCAATCCATCTCCAGAAATCTCATTGTATGGGATGACAACATTTCTCAGCCCACAAACTATGGAGGTGCTGTTACATGTGAATGATGTGCTAATTCGCGCATTAGTGGATAAAGGGAGTACCCAGAACTTTATTAATGCATCTATGGCGGAAAGGCTAGATCTTCCACCTGCTACATACTCCACCTTCCTGGTGGCAGTAGCTAATGGAGAACATATCACCAGTCCCGGCATATGTATTGCTTTGAAAAGGGGCATAGAGTTTCAGTACTTCACTCTATATTGTGCCTCTAACTGGGTATGATCTGATCCAAGGAGTCCGCTGGTTGAAAACACAATATTGTGTGACTTTGATAAGCCACAACTTTACTTTAAAATGAATGGTAAACAAGTAACATGTAAAGGGGATTTTCCTTTGTCGGCCTGACAAGTTATTTCACAGGACAGGCTGCAATTGGACACCGTCTGCTTTGATGATATTTCAATTTATAGCAAAACAAAGGTGGAGCTTGTCTAACACATGCAAATAATTTTTGACGTGTTGTGCCACCATCCATTGTTTCTAAAACAATCTAAACGCACTTTTAGTGAGCAAATGGTGCGCTACTTGGGCCATGTAATCTCGAGCAGTGGGGATTAAGCAGACTCGGACAAAGTCAAAGCAGTTGCAAGACTGTCCTTACTGTTTTGTTTGTGTTCCTGAGCTTTACTGGGGTCTACGACATTAAGGATCATGGCAACGTAGAAGCTCCTTTGACAGCACTCTTTGTTACATGTGTTGATAACTGTTCACGTATGCCTCGTAAAAGTATGTATGGTGATAGCGCTAGAGAATATCTTTCCGTTTCCTGCTAGTCCTGCATGTGTGGCCATGGCATCCTCCACCAAACTAAATGTGTGAATACTCCTCAAAATGGGGTAGCAGAATGCAAACCGACTCAATCTTTAAATGAGGGGAAGGGTTCTGATGACATCTGATTATACACTGCCTCTAGTACTAAATATGTGCCCTCTATGTTGAGCCTCCCATTATTCACCTTTACTCTCACAGAAAAAAAAAATCCTCACTTGCCCCTGAACCTATTCCTGCCACAATAATTTATCCATCCCCAACACCTGCCCCAGTCTCACACCCTGAGCCGAGCACTTTGTTGTTGGACCATGATCATGCCGATGGTCTACCCATCGCTTTGTGCAAAGATAAATGGTCTTGTACCCACCCTATTTCCAACTGTGTCTCGTATAAAAATTTGTCTTCTACCACTTGTGCACTCAACTCTTCTCTAGATTCATAATGATCTTCAGGAAGAGGTTTGTATGGAGCAACCTCGGGGTTTGTTGCTCATGGGGAGAATGGGAAGGTATGTCGGCTAGACAAGTCTTTGTACGATCTAAAACAAAGTCCTAGTTCATGATAAGGAAAGTTCAATCAAGTAATTGACCGGTTTGGAATGGTGAAAGGGCAATATGATCATTCTATTTTTTTGTGAATGGTCTGATGGTGGAATCATCTTTGTTAAAGAGTTTCCCACATTGGAACTTGTAGAGGAAATAAATCGATATATAAGCTCTTGAGTTGAACTAATTAATCGATTGGATTCAATCTTTTAATGTGGTTCAACTCAAGTATCTTGTTGCCCAATTAAAGTCCCTACCCCATTCTAAATCCTATCATGGTATCAGAGCCAGTTTTAGCACACCTCGTTTGTTAAGGTGTCTGTCTAGACATCCATTCCTAGCAACCCGTTTGTCTTTAGCCCAGTTGTCCGTGTGGAATGTATATCCAATGGCATGTGGCATGTTTAACCCAATTGCTCGTCTGAAAGTTCATACCCAGCGGCTCGTCACCCTTTAAGTGTTGGCGCTAACAAAGGGGGGGAGGAGTCCATTTGCAAGTGGTCGACCGGTTAGATTCAAAATGGTCCGATCGTCCACTTAAGAGAGAGTGCTAAAGAGTGTCACATCAGAACTTGTAGAGGAAATAAAGCGGTATATAAGCTCTTTAGTTGAACTAAGTAATCGATTGGATTCAATCTTTTAATGTGGTTCAACTCAAGTGTCTTGTTGCCCAATCCAGTGATCCCTACCCCATTATAAATTCTATCGATTTTATTGGTTATTTATGTAGATGACATATTTATTACACAAAGTGATCTTGCAGACATTTCATCACTCAAGACATTTGTCCGCAGTCCAGACAACGGATTTTGGATTGCAGAAGTATTTTCTAGAAGTTGAGGTTTTGCGGAGCAAGAAAGGCATATTGCTCACCCTGATTCTGAGATAGGAAAGCTCGTGGCCAAACCTTGTAATACACATATGGTTCCTAATATGCAATTACCAAAAAACAAAATTATTCAGAGATCCGTAGAGATACAGGAAATTAGTGGGTAATTTGAACTACTAAGTTGTGACCCGCACGTAAATTGTTTATCTGGTTAGCATGCTAATTCAATTTATGGCATCCCAAACAATTGATCATTGGGTTGCAATGGAACATGTTCTATGATAGTTGAAGGGAACTCATGGTCATGGTATCACTCGTATGGTCTATTCAAATCAAGGTCACATGAACGTTGAAAGTTATGTAGATGTTATGTGGAGTCTCCAGCTCCAGTTATTCTGTCTTTGTGGGCGGCAACTTCATTTCACACAAAGAAGCAGAATGTTTTCTCTTGTTCTAGTGTTGATTTTGAATAGAGTCATGGCACAAGCTACATGTGAAAAAATATGGATATATCACATCCTAAATGGAACTGGTTTCAAAGCTCCCATCCCTCCGAAACTATGGTGTAATAATCAAGTTGCTCTTCATATACAATCCAAACAAATGTTTCATGAAAGAACGAAGCATGGCGAAGTAGATTGTTTGTTCGCGAGAAAATCTAGAAGGGATTGGTTTCTACTAATTTTGTGATGACGAGATCAGTTCGCATATCTACTTACTAAAGTGCTAAATGGCACCTAAGTTGACAATTATGTAACAAGTTGGGCATGATAAATATCTATGCTCCAACGTGAGGGGGGTGTTATTAGTATTAATATTAGTATATAAGTTAAGTCTTGAGAATATGGTAGGCTTTAATATAGGGATTAATAGGGGTGATTTCTTTTCGTTATATTAGCACCCTTCTTATGTATATATTGCCTCTTGCATTATGTAATAATGTGAACATTAAGTAAACCACTTAATATCAATTACAGATTGGTAAGAGTTCTTATGAGAAGATCCACGAAACTAATCAAAAGTCCAACTATGCGCTTACAGGGGCAAGGGACAATGCTCGCAACATTAAGATAGCTCCAAACAAGTCCATTAGAAAACCAATTGCCCAAGCTTTGTTAAATGCATATGCTCTTATCACCTGCAAGCATGTTCACCAGGAGGCATAATGTCAAGAATATTGTTAGTGTACATTGGGAACAATTGTTGGAATAATAGATTAAATACTATATACTCAAATCTATAGCTTTGACACATATAAGGACATTTAAGCATTCATTCTTATTACTTTTGTACCAATGCATGTTGTTCAAACCACAATCATACACGATCATGATGCAATTAGGTTTATTCTTTATGAGAAAACTACTCTATAACTAAAAACCTACGAGCACAACTTGAATTGTCTCAAATTTATATTGCTCATGTGAAATGTGGGGAATAAAAATGGTTCAGAAGTTAGGGCAGTTTATTTTAATTGTAGAATGCACATAAATGTTAATCTGTTGTATAATTTGCAAATTAGGGCAGCTTATTTAGTTGGTTAATTTTATTGTTCACTTACAAATTTATGGCGTGTAATTCCTTAGAACAGACAGGCTTATCTGGGGCTATCCTTCAAAAATTAAAGGCTATTCACTGTCACCAGAAAATTGTTCAAAGCTAATAACAATTTATCACGAGGCTAAGCACATCAGAAGGTGCGAGTATGATTTGAAAAAATTATTAGTTTTGTAAATCAAATTGTTATACGTGATCTTTCTTATTTTTGTAAATAGAATGTGTGAAGTTGGAATCTTATCTACATAGTATTGTGGTAAATATCATGTCTCTAAGTCTAAGGGGCTGTTTGGTAACTTCTGAATGGGTAAGTGCTGAACCAGTAAGAGGTCTGAACCATTAAGAGCTAGTATATTGTTTAACTATTCAGAGGCAAATGTCTGATCAATTCAGATAAGAGCTCTTAACCATTCAGACTCTGTATAATACTTAACCATTCAGAGGCAAATCTCTTAACCATTCAGACATCTGAACCATTAAGAGGCTGAAACAAACAGTCTCAACCATTAAGTGCTGAATCATTCAGACATCTGAACCATTAAGAGGCTGAAACAAACAGCCCCTAAGAGTTGTTAATGAGGGTGGAGATTTGAAAGAGACCCCTTCTGATGATGCAGCCTTTGAGTTGCTTGTTGCCTCATCCTTTGCGTACAGAACTGCACAAATAATAGCCATCTTGGATGAGGCAGCAACCAACTCAAAAGTTACATCATCAAAGGGTCTCTTTCAAATCTCCATCCCCATTAGCAGCTCTTAGGGACATGATATTTACCTCAGTAGATGTGATTCCAACAACATACATTCAATTTACCAAAAAAAGATAAAACACATCGAAGTATCTAATTAAAAAAATACTCGTGATACTTTTAATTTAAAAAAAACTACTTGCCACTCCTAATGTGGTTAACCTAGTGATAAATTTTGATTGGCTATGAGAACTGTTTTGATAAAAAGTGAATAGCATCCACATTTTGAAGGATATCCCCGGACATCTTCAAAACAATGACACGCCATATATCAAAGAACAATATAATTGTAAAACTGTCTGTTAACACACCACATGTATCCAAATTGTGCGGCTCACGGCAGTCACAGGACATCTATTCTTGAAGGTTGTACCAGCCTATTCCTCCCAATAAAGCCTTTCCTCTCTAACACCAGTGCGAATGAAAACAAAATGTATACCAAAGATAAATACCATGCACGGAGTATACGCTATGTTCATAGCCAATTAGCCAAAATGCAAAGCATGTGCACAATCTCAATGCCAACTCAAGTCTGACCACAAGATAAGTGCATCTAAGAACATAAAAATGCCCATACAAAACACCCATTTGATCATATCCCGTGAAAGAACAGACTAGGAAAAATGCAAGAATGGTTATGCATCACAAATGGAAGGCCGGATTTCATTAGAGTCAAAACCATAAGATTATTCAACAGAATTTAAACAAAGAGAGAGCGACGACGGACCTTGAGCTTGAAGGAGAGAGGGGGGAGAATAAGGGTGCCCTTCTTCTGGAGGACTTTGCCGATGTTGTTGCCAGCGGTGGCCGCTATGGTTAGGCAGATTGATTCCCACATCTTCCTCCCTGTCCCTGCGGAGGTAATGGCCCTTCGGGTTATTGTTTTCAGGAGGATCCTAAGCTCCCAATGATGCTTTACGCCTTCACCCTTTTCATGGGTGCCTCCGGGTAACCGCGGCCCGCGGCCCTTCGGGTTATTGTTTTCACTTTTCAGGAGGATCCTAAGCTCCCAATTTAGTATGAACTAGAGAAAACCCCAAATAGGAATTATAGGAGTTTCAAACGTATATGCTCAAAGTAGGTGTAAAACTTAAAATAAAATAAAAACTAAACAAAAGTGGCATATGCGATTACTTTAGCTGCTAATTTAAAAATAAAACAATTCTATATAAAAACTAATTCTTCAGTTTTTTTTATGTGATGATTATAATTTTTTTTAATCTACTAAAAAGAACAAGAAAAATTTTTACGTAAAACACTAACTTCATGAACAAGTATTTAAAACGTTTTCTTTGAAGGTACAAAACGCAATTAAGGGATCAAACACTAAACAAAAATTAGTTAAAAGATTTTAACTCTTAAAGAGACCTTTCATACGTCCTAATCAGAAATTAAAGAAACTGAAAAAGGAAAAAGCTTTCAATACAATGTCAACCAATGCCACAATGTCAAAGACGATAATACATACTGACAAACATATCATTGCATAATGCCAAAAATGTCAGTGCATAATGCCAAACATATCAATATAAAATGTCAAAAAGAAATTAAAATGTCAAGATTGCCAACATACAATATCAAGTTTGTTATCACTATCACCAAATTTTGCTGAAATTGTGAGTCAATTTAAACACAATTAATAGAAAAACAATCAAACAAAAAAATTGAAAGAAAAGCAATCAAATACAAAAATGAAAAGAAAAAACCAAAACAAAAATCAATGCCTGATGAAGCATCGGCAGCTGAGATTCAAATGGTGAAGTTTAAGCGTCTCATTATGGCGGCAGTGACGGAGATTAAAGGGACATCGACATCGATAATGGTAGAGACGTTGTGTCAGCGGCAGTAGAGGCGTGATATCAACGGTGGTAGGGGCATTGCAGCAGTTGGGGTGCCGGCGTTGCCGACGGCGGCATGACAGAGTTGAGCAACCATTGATAGAAATTTTGTACACTTGAGCAACATTGGCATGGAACAATTGAGCGCGGCATGACACAATTGAGTGGAGAAGAGGATACTCCTATTTTGAGGGTTTTATCTTTCAACTCCTAGTTTGAGATTTAATCAATGTTTTACTCCTATTTTGCTCCTTAACCTCTACATCACAATTTCTATCTGACCTTCTAAGAGCACTGGAAATACCGCTTCAAAATTTCTCTATGTCACATCAATTTTAACTTACCTCACAGATTCAGTGGAAATGAGTTTGAAGCCCTAGGACTTCAAACAAAGGTTTCAAACCTTCATTTTTACATTTTTAAATATACATCTTCTAAAACTAAATTAATAAAATTCAATTATTTTATTATTTAATTATATTGAAACAAGAATAATTAAAAAAATGCATTCATTAAATTAAAAGAAATTGAAGCAACAATAATTGAAAAAAATACATATATTAAAGTAAACAATTTATTTATAAAATGGGAGGAGATGGAGTTTTAAATTTATAATAAAAAGTTCATTTTTCTTTTTTTTGCTTCCAATGGCTAACTTAGCCGTTATAGGGGGAGAAACTGCGTCAAACGAATGAAGCTGGAAGGGTAACACCACGGTGAAGCCCCAGGGAGCGGTGTTTAACGCCCCCTAGGCTTCAAAAGTATCATAACGCCAGTTGGCATTACATGTATTACCAGTGGCATAAGAGGGATGTTCATCATCCGGTCCGGAGAGAACAACACCAAATCAATTTAGGTCCAGTTTTTCGTCCACCAATTTTGAGATTTCGGTCTTAGGTCTGTTGTGATCCCAAATCGAAATGACAAAATTGTTGAGGTCCAAATCAAGTGGATCGAAATGAAATATTAAAGTTTTAAATATGTACATTCTAATGATATAAATAAGCAATTTATCAAAATGTTTATAACTAAATAAAGTTTGTTTAAATTTATTTTTAATGAAAATAATGATCTATTATACAAAATTTGATTAGAATTCTTAAGTAACGGCATAGTCTCTAAATGTTAGGGATCTCTTTTACATACTTCTTTGATATTGGCTCTTTTGGGTTATTATTTGCAAAAAAAATGTTATTGGTTACCTCTAGTTTGTGATAAGAACTACCAGGTATCTTTAATTTTCAAAATATACTTTCAGATACCTTAAGTTAAGATAAAACTTACTAAGAGGGCATCATCATCACAACCACCACCACCATCACCTCCTCCTCCTCCTTACTAAAAGGGCATCACCATCACCTCCTTCTCCTCCTTCTCCTTCTCCTTCTTCTCCTCCTCCTCCTCCTCCCCCTTCTTCTTCTTCGTCTTCTTCTTCTTCTCCTCCTCCTCTTGCTCATCCTTCTTATCTTCCTCCTTTTTCTTCAGTAAAAATGGTGATGAAGAAGAAGAAGAAGATGTATTGATGATAACGAAGAAACTGAGGGAGGAATAAAAGTTTGGAGGATGGATGGAAAATCTCCTCTAGTCCTTTTTGTAATGCCCTAAAACTTGGTCTAGTAGAATTGGTTAATTTAATCAATTAATTACTGACTTGAACTGGGGTTAGGAAAAATAAAGTCTTCATAAAAATTAGTTGATCACGCTATAATATTTGTCTTGACTCTCTGATTCAAGAAACACAAACGGATCTCGATTCGGACTAGTTTGGAGGGAAAAGCGCGTACCATTTAGGTCAGAATTTCCACAACAGAGTGAGATTTCGGGAGGTAGCCCCCCATTCAATACACACGCCACTCACCACACACTTACTTCCCTTTTTTATTCCCCAATTATTCCTCTTCATTATATACATCCCTCCTCTCCACTTCTTTCACCATTTTTGTAACCTCCATCCTTAACACCCAGAACTCTCCCTCTCCCCTCTCTTTGTGTTCGGCCAAGCAGGTGCCAGGGAAGGCAATTCCGGCGAGGAGGTGAGGAATAAGGAAGAAGGGAAGAAGGTTTGCGCGTGCAGCCGATCGTCCGTTCGTTTGATCGTTCGCTTGTTCCGTTTCCTGTTCGTTAACCCCTTCGTTTTAGAGCTGAGTACGTTGCCCTCTATCTTTAGAATCCGTAATATATTTCATATTGTTATACTCGTAGGATTACCCGGCTAAATGTATGCGAACCCATGGTTATGGTTTTCCCGTTATTAGGATTTATGGGTATATATATTAAACTCATTAAAGAAATCACCTCGAAACCCGTTGAAATCATAGATTGCTATACGTAAAATCTTAAAATATTTATTTCAACTTTCAACGTATTGCTTGTAATTAGGCAGATAAAATAAGAACCCACGTGCCCCGATAATCGATTATTAGGGTATGACAATGATTATCTAGCGACGATGAATTCTCCTGTTTGGTAGCAAAGCTAAATAATTGATTATCACAAAGTGATAATCGACTATTAGACTCTGCTGAACTCTTAGCTCAGAAACAGTTCCACTTCATAATCGATTACCACAAGGTGATAGTCGATTATCAGACCCCTTTAAACTTTGAGTTCTGAAATTGGCCAACCTGACAATCGATCATCACAAAGTGATAATTGACTATCAGGGGCTGCAGAACCTTGGGTTCAGGAACTTCCAGGGCCGATAATCGATTATCAACATGAAATAATCGATTATCAGCCAGTCTAGAACGCAACCAAAGGATTACCATGCTAAGGAACAAAGCATTTTCAAAATAAAACCAATACAGAATTAAATATACATAAATGGATTAAAACTGAGACTTCATTCAAAATAAATCATTCATAACATCATGTACATCCTAGACACATGTTGTAGGATCATTTAAATCATAACATAACTGCATTCAGGGGTCAGGCCTAATGTGCCTCTTTCACGGGCCCGTCTAGGAGCCTTCGGGGTCCAATGGGTTTCATTTGGAGGACTTGTGTACATGCATGGTAATTAGGCTTTCAATTCCCACACAATTTTTAGTCTCCTTCATGAGACTAAGGTTTCCTCGGCTCATCACTGCGTGGGATGATCACCGAAGGGCAGGGTGGTCCCTGCGCAGTCTAACTCATGCATCATGAATCATTTGACATTGCATCGTTTGTAAATAATGTGGTATCCCATACTTTAGTACATGTACAATTATGTCCGTATCCATGTGAAATATTATTATGTGTTTTACGATTAGATTAACACTCAGCTTATGCTGAGCGTATAGCGTTTTTTTTGCTGTACGCAGGTAGGCGCGATGACCATGAGCCTGACTCAAATGATCGGGAGATCTTTTTTACCATTAAGATTAAAAAAATCACAAACAAAAAATTAGACGTATGGTATGACTTTTCTGTTTAATTAAAATGATGAATTAAATAAAATTGATTAATTAATAAAATAAAATAAGCCAAACTAAGAATAATTGGAACATAAAAAACCGTAAGCATAAAAAGCGAATCCAAAATTCAATTACTCCATTCATTCCGAAATGGATTATAATTTTTTGCGAGCTATCTCTCGATAACTTTGGTTTGTTTGTTTGTATATTTTATTAATTATTCATACACCAATTTGTAAATAATTTCATTTTAAAAGTGTGGGGTTTTACCTTGTAAATAAGAAATTGTAATTCAATTTGGAGCGGAGGGAGTAATTTTTACATTATTTTTATGAAAAATATAATATGTTAAATAGGAATAAAAAATAAGATGTTTGTTAATAAAAAAGATAAAAAAATATGGAAAAAAAGAGGAAGGGAGAGGGTGGGGGGCTGGCGGGGTGATGGAGGCTTTGAAGAAAAAGAAAGAGGGTGAAAGAAGAACAAAAAGAAGGGAGTGGGAGGGGAAGAAACTACTTCGCAAGAAATAGGGTCAAATTAAAGATTTTAACATATACTCCCTCCGTCCCATTTTATAACGCCTGTTTCGTTTTACGATGTTTGTCTGAAATTATTTTCAAACCATTTTATATGACAAATGGTATAGAATTAAAAAATAAAAATTACATATTAAAAAACTACATCAAAATATCTACAAAAGTAGTAGTGACAATAGTATTTTATTTTATCAAATTGTTAA